TAAGAAGACGGCCATTGATCGTAAATCTGATCTGATAATTGCTAAAGCAATTGTAATTTTTGTGTGTATGTGAGAGAGTGTGAATCAACAGTTTTTGTTATTGATGTAAATTATTTTATCGAATATATGTGTTAAATACTTACACACACGTGTTAGTGTTTGTGTACACCTTTCCACTTTGGAAATAGCAAATTTATCATATATTTATATTTAAATTTATGTCGACTTCGTGCTATTATTTTGTCTGATTCTACATTTGTACAAAATATTTTTTAACACTTAATTTTTATTAGAACCATTCAAAGCAAGCACAAATGTTTCGATATCATTTTCAAGTTACAGTTAGTAATAGTTAATGTAGATAACTGAGTGAATGAATGAGTGCGTAAGAATTACGGGGAGAGCGAGAGATGGAGAGAGGGGGGAGGGGAGACAGTGAGAAAAAGAATTCGAATGTATTACTATAGGCGTGTGTACTATCGCGTTTGGGGCTCCGCACAATAAAAGGAACAAGGAACAAAGAACAGAGAATAAAAATTTGAACCTATATCAGAAACTGTGTATTCCACAATACATAATTTCTAATAGGTTAAAATTCTTATTTTCTGCACCGAGAAAAAGATTTCTTTGAATGTAATAAATGTTATCGTATCCAAATAAAGTTATTTGGAATGGTCCAAACAAACCAATGTTTGAATCAATAAGTGCGATTGTTTGAATTTGGAACAATGTATATCTTTGTCGTAAATACATTATTTGTTTGAACAGATAATATCTATCTTCAGTATTCGCGTGATCAACTGTACGGTACAAACGTAATTGATGTAGCACATAGCACTGCTCGTTTAATCCTGTTGTTAGACGTATAAGCCATTGTTTCCATATTTTCGGTCAAAAAATGTAATGATTATTCTAAGAAGGCAATTATTTGCATGATGGAATAACCTAACCTCTATAAATATATTTTGCTATTTTCAAATAAACAATTTGTTTCATTGTTCGTATTCATTGTAACCAAATAATATATTATTTAATTGAAAGATATTATTTCTGTCAAGCAATAGAGATTTCTCGAATGAAACAGCAAAATTTTTATTCAAACAAATAATATTTCGTACAAGCATATGTTGTTTCAATAAAACAAATTTTAGTCAAATAAATAGAAATATTAAATCCAAAGAAACCTTTTTCTCTCTGTGTGTTCTCTGTTCCCTGTTCCTTTTATTGTGCGGAACCCCTTACTGTTGAGTCTAATCAAAGACATAAAGAATGGACTGCGCGATCCGTGTGTCAAAATGGTCGATAGGGATGAGAGAGAGAGAGGAACCGTTTCTATCTCTTTCCATTCAATGGTGTAATGGGAGAGAAAATGAGAGGGAGATTGGCCGTCTCCCACGGGTCCCTCTCTCTCATTATTGTCGATCACATTTGATACACTACTTAAATACGGATCGCGCAGTCCATTCTCTGTGCTTTGAGTCTAATGGATGCGTAAGCTCCCGCATGCATCGGTGAGCGCGCCGCCCCTGCTTACCTTCCGTACTCTACTTGTGATACGCCAACTATTTCTCTTTATAATTTAAAAACTAAGCTTCGAATAAATTTTTGCCAAAAGAAAAATCGTCTTAGAATACGGTCAAGAATATGTAAGAACAAAAGGTTATTTTGAATCACCCTGTATATTTACTATTAATAGTTGCGTTTTAAATAAATTCTGATGTTATAATGAAGAAACTTTTATGTCTATATTTGAAAGAATTATTTTCTTCAATAAGAACATGTTTAAAATTCCTACTGTCATCACATTATTAAGTATTTTACATTTTATTTATAAATGAAATATAGGGGAGCCATGTGTCATAAAAATTGAAACTCTTAAAAGTGCATCTAAATATAACAATTTTTGTATCTTTTTTTTTAATAATTAAAATTGTTAGATAAAGTTCTATTTTTTATTGGTTGAATAATTGAAAAAAGATATTGAACTGTATTGGACGAAAGAAATCTAGTGAAGCGAGGAATCATCCATTTAATTCGGAAAAATGTTCGTACAATTTAGCTAGATACAATATAAAGTTACAATTTTTAAAAGAAATACGCAACAAATCAAAATTATTATTACGTTAAAATGAGTATTGATAAAAACATATTATTTTTATTTGTTTAATTAAAGAAGCCAATAAAATAAATTAAATTATTGATTTAAGATAAGGAATTTAAGGATATTTCGTTTTAAATTAAGTAGATAGAACACGAGTAATATTAGCGTATTACAATCTTGGATTTATCGAAATTATTAAATTAACTTGCATTAATAACACTTTGTAATAATTTTAATGAAACGAGTTGATATAATCAAATTCTTGAAACGCAAAATGGGAATAATAACCTTATATTTAAGTTGTATAACAAGAACACAATAAATTCGCAAGAAGAAACAAACATGTAAATAGTAAGATGGAAATTAAGTGTACTCGATTTTGCATTAATCGCAAGATTTCTTTCTGACAAAAATACACACATACTTGAGCGGCCGCTCCACGAGAGAATCATACATATTTTAAAATTTACACTCTAAATTTCCTACAGTGAAATCTTACTCCAAGAAAGTGAAAATGCAACCACCTTTGAAAAAAAGTTAAAATATTTCACTTCTTGAAAAAAGAGTGACGATCTTCACTCTTTTTAGAGTGAATTTTCATTTCAAAAAAGTGAAATCTCATTCCAAAAAAGTAAGATTTCACTCTAAAAAGAGTGAAGATCGTCACTTTTTTTTCAAGAAGTGAAATATTTTAACTTTTTTTTCAAGGGTGGTTGCATTTTCACTCTCTTGAAGTGAGATTTCACTGCAAGAAATTTAGAGTGTAATAAGTTGTAGAGTGTAATAATTACTAAATATATATTTAGTAAATATTTATTAGTTTAAAAAAAAAATAAAAACATATTTTTTAAAAAATGACCTATGGTGCCCCATACCCAGGGTATCATGGATCACACTCAAAATAGTAGGATTATACAAAAAATAACGGTAATGGAAGTTGAAAAGTATTTTCAATTAACTTACACATTCTTAGCATAGTCACTAATACAATAAAATATAATTATAACTAATAATTATTAGATAATAAAATAGAAAGTTATAAGAAAACAAATGAGAAATAATCATTAATATAAAATAAAAAATATATTACGATAATAATAAATAAAATTAATTGCTTAGAAATATAAACTGCCCTTTTAGTATATATATTTTCTATATTGTCTCGTTTAATCATGAATATTTAATGTGACCCATGGTACCCCAACTATACATTTAATTATATAATTTAATAGAAAACTATAAAAAAATAAATGTTAGATTATTACTTGTAACGTAATAAGTTGAGAAAAGATGCGCAGAAACTTGCACTGTATCTTCATACATGTATCTTCTACTTCAAAAATAATATTAAAACATTTTTATGCGATTAAAAAGTTACTTTTGCACCACGAAAACCATTAATGATCGATGCTTTTCGATACAATGAAATTTAATCACTGCCACCTTGATAAAAAGTATGGGGGCAACGAAGTAACAGTCGTATTGTACTAGTAATATTCATTTAAACATTCTAGATTATGTTAAACAATCAATGACCTATGGTACCCCGTGACCTATGGTACCCCGCGACCGATTTTCCCTAACTTTAAAAGAGAAAAAGTACACGAATTAGTATAGAAAATAATCTAATTTGATTAGTTTGAAATGGATCGAAATTATATATTTCTCTTTTATATTTATGTAACAAACGGACATGATATATTATAATATTATACAAATTCTTTGACGCAAAGAGTATGAATAAAAAATAATTTATCATTGAGATTATGAGATCAGTCAATATTTATTGCCATTAAACAAATAAATAACAACATAACAAAATAATACAGTTCATATTACGGTCGAAGCTGGATCTTCGTTGCTTTTAAAATAATTCAATCTTGAATTACTACTATATATACCGAGGGGTAAACCGCTGACCAAAATCCTGTATACCAATGCCTAGTAATGCCCAGTAATGCCCAGTAATGCCCTCAGCGGTTTACCCCGAGGGGTAAAATCCTGTATACCAATGCCTAGTAATGCCCAGTAATGCCCAGTAATGCCCAGTAATGCCTTCAGCGGTTTACCCCTCGATATATACTATATATGTACTTGCATATATACCATATTGTAGTCTTTTTCAAACTGCGCGCCGAATTGTTTTTCCGGACTAAATAAACGCAATTAAAACTACTCTAGTAATCGCGAATTAAATTGACAAGCAATTTTAATAATTTGATACTACTATCAAGCATCATATATTATATAGATGTTAGTATATTAAAACTGTTAATAAATTTATTGCAAAAAATATTACCTCGCAGTTTGAAAAAGACTACAATATGGTATATATGCAAGTACATATATAGTATATATTAGTAATTCAAGATTGAATTATTTTAAAAGCAACGAAGATCCAGCTTCGACCGTAATAGGCATTTAAATTTCTAGTATTGATTGTGTTTCTCACATATACGGTCTAAAAATAAAAATATTAACATAAATCGAGCAAAATTCAATAAAGAGAAGAATTACAAAATATCCAAAATAATGCAACAATAATGATGATAAAATAAAATTATATAACAATTATATGTAATGGACGTATTTTCCAACGCAATCGTACATATCACGAGTGAATATATATATATATTGTACAATAACACTCGTTGCTAAACTCGGACCATTTGTAACGTAGTGACCGCGTCAACTGCCATGTCTCGGTCGAAACTTGGCGAAATATCGTTTTGTACAACCTGTTGACGATCTTCCTCACCGTTTGACGGAGCGAGAATGATTTATCACCTGACATTGTTCGTTTCTGTACTGTCCGAAAACGCATGATGTACGTGTGTAAGACAGTCTAACAGGCGCCTTACTAAAATTTCATATTTCCTCCATCATATTTGTGTAACAGGTGGGCATGATGGTACCGTACAAATCCTTCGGCGTGAGAGAGTACACCAGAGCAGTCACTACCGCTATTAACACACTGCAGAGAAGTACGAGGGGTCCAAGACTGGGGCTTTTCCAGCGATATGATCTTCATGTCAAGATAGCGATGAAGGAACTTACGCCTAGCCCAACTGGTGAATATTAATCTTGCTTGATTGATAGCTTTGTTAGCCACATATTATTATTATTACACATTCCATCACATCGTACATTATATGTAAATATATTAACAAAGGTATTTTACGTTATATAAAATTAAGTAAAACAAAATTAACAAATTAATAATGTTTTTTAAATATATATTTGTACTTTAATTTTTAATTTACAGTCGGTGTTCAATTTTTTGCGAAATGCAGTTGACATTTTTGCATTGGAAATGCAATATATGTATGAAACAAAATCTGCATTCTTAATTTCTACTAAATGAATAATACATACAAAAATTCCGGAACTTTTGTTCTCACTAACAAATTTGGTATGCGAATATTTAGTGCTTAATTTTATGAAAGGAGTAATATAAGTCGTACATTAAAAATTCGTTGATTTGCAAATGAGAAGATTATAAAAAGTTTTAAAGGGAGTTTTGAATTATGAAAAAGATCTCGACCATTATTAACTTTTTATTTTTGTGAGAAGGATTTACCTGCAAAATGACAAATGATGAGATTTTTTGGAATCGTAGCAGGTTCATGAAGAGAACAGAAAGTCTTAGATCAATACGAACCCATTTCTTTAGAGACATTGGAGGCTTTTATGGGGCTTGGCCTTTATCAAACAAAATCTGAACGTTGGATTATATTGCTTTCACTAATACCGTTCTTTGTGCCCACTGGATACAAATCAGCACTTTAGTCTTGCGATAAAGAGATTCTCTGTTGTCAAACGAATGCAAAGCAGAAATGTAAAATGACTTGGATTTATCCTTTTGACGATTTACGTAATTACTTCTTCGCAAAGCTTATACATTAAATCAAGATTATAATTTATAGTTCTAACGTAACTAAAAAATGAATTTCTATTTTACACGAAATAGAAATTTATTTTGTATTTTTTAATCTTTGCTGTACAGTACCTATTACAGCAACGTAGAAAATGCCGAGTAATGCGAAATAATTAGAAAGCGAAAACCAAACGTGTAAAGGTAACATGCAGGATAATATAATCTTAATTTAAAATACATGTCTGATGCAATGTAAAAATAATAAATAGGCGCGAATAAATTTTGTATATATTATATATATATATATACTTACATATAGTCGGTATTTATAATTTTAACAAATTGTCATAGAAATGAGTTTATATCACGGTATAATTTTTATTCTTTTGTCAAAAATTCGTAACATTGATATTTGCACTGAATATTTTAACGTTGAAAACTTTGCGTCAAATCCATAAAACATAAAGTGGATGGAAATGAAGTACAAGCATTCTGATCATTGTGGGTTTTGAAAGTGCATAAAGTACATCCGTTCTACAGTTTGCACATGCTGACCCGCAGTAACAGCTTCATATTCAATTAATTCAGAATGAGGATTATATTGGACCAATGCAAATATTGATTAAAGAGAACCGTTTCGAAAGCATGAGAAAGTATTAATTACTGTTTAATCCTGATCTTACCTGTTATCGGTACAATACTAAAATATGAAAAAGAATGTTATATTTTACATAACTTTTCAAATTTAAAAATGTATACAAATCCACAAAGCTTTAAAAATAAATGTAAAAATGTCTATATATTTCTAAAGTCTAAATGTTTCTATTTAATTTGACTTTTTTATGTAATTTTACTTGGTATAATTTTTAAAATAATTATGTATGTAGTTTACTTTTTGTATATCATATCATCTATATTTCATGTTTATTAAAACGCTTAAACGTTAAAATAGAAATGAGAAACGTTAAATTAGAATGTCTAAAAATATTGTTATGTGCAACATTCCTTTTAATAATTTCGTAATATAGACAGTAAATTTTTTAAATCATTTTCGAACATTTTTTAAGTTTATAATATGTATATTAGATTCGGTAAACGACAGTGTGTGTTTGTGTGTGAACGTGTCGACGTTCACTTTTTTTCTAAAGATCCTATTGATGTTGGCGGAAACTATCTGGAGCGCATTAAATTTATGAAAAATCGGAATTGGGCTGAAATGGGATGTTTTCATGCTGCCGCGCTCCGTTGAAAGAAAAAGAGACGTCGGGCGCAGTTCTGCCATGTAAATCACGTTGGAAAAGCTGGACGACAGCCAGGCGCTGCTTGCTCACACATCATCACACGTCACACCACCCATTGCCACGTACCACGTTCCGTCATCACCTCACGCGCTTCCTGAATGAATACATTGGCCGACAAATGATCGTACTACTACCGGAAATCTTAAATGAGTAATGACAATCACTTAGTAACATAGCACCATCATTTGTCAGTCCATTAAATTTCCGCAGGAAAATTTTAAACACTCTGGTGCAGCAAGAATTAATTGAGCAGGTGATATGGAGAATGCAACGTAATGTAAGCTGAAACTTTGTAAATAGTTTTTGTTTTTCAAAAAAACTTTGTTTTTGTGAATTCTGTGGGTTACTTTAGAAGTTTCGTTTGGAAAGTATCTTTTTGTAACGAATAAAAAGTATGGGAATTGATTATTGTTAAAAATTGATAGAAATATAACTTATATTTACGATTTAAGAATTTACAAGTCTCTGACTTAAAATATTTATAAATTCGTAGAATTTTTATTAGTTTATTTAAAAATTTCATAGATTTTTATAACATAGATAATAAAACATAAAAACGTAACATAAACTTTGTGGTATGCTCTTATTTTTTAAACAGAAATAGCTGAAATGAATATTACACAGTAAAAAATCGTACGTCCACGTATGTAGAATTTTTCTTGTGTTACCACATTTTGATTATTACTTCAATGTAAAATAAACATACAATTGATATGTTATTATTTTTGTAACATTTTGATGTGTTAGATTCATGTCACCTTTCTAACTTAACAATTGCGTATGTCAATTAAAAATGGAATATTATTTCGAGTGTTTTTAACACAATTGTTTCAATTAATCTATATATCTCAAAGTCAATTTAACATCTAAGAATTTTTTCATTCACATTATACGAA